TGTGTGTGTGTGTGTGTGTGTGTGTGTGTGTGTGATTGAGACAGAGACAGAGAGAGAGATCGTGTACGGGGTGCAATGAATAAACTGTCGCCGAAATTACGCAAAAATTATAACACTGATATTTCCTTTTAACAGATATTTACCCAAGTTTGGTAACTCGTGGCGGTGTAATGGTTAGCAAGCTTGGCTCACAAAGAAAAATTACGTTTCAATAGTGAGTTCGATCCTCACGGGGTACCCCCTAATTTCGGCCTTGTACCACATTTAAGCTACACTTGAAAAATCGCTATACTTACGCAAAATATCTTGAAAAACTAAAGAGTAATAAACCAATGGCTTAAAGTCAAAGAAAAGCATTTATTTTAGACAGATATTTAGCTTTGAATATATTCAACTTCTTTGCCAATGCACTTAATAGAAATCTTCTACATCGACTGAACATTATATTGTGATAAGTAACCTTTTAAAGCTACAGACTTATTGATCGATTCTCGGATATAACGCAATCTGTAAGCATTCTTCCAAAGTTGCAATGTTTAGTTGATTTTGTTTATCACTATATCAATCGGAACAGTGGGCACCTCGGCGTGGTGTAATGTTTAGCAAGCTTGTCTTGGTTGATCAGTTACAACTGAAAAGTGAGTTCGATCCTCACTAAGTACCCCATACTTTCGGCCTTGTACCACATCTAAGCTATGCTTGGAAAATAACTATCAATCTATACAGATTATTGAATGCCGAAATCTAAAAATGTTGAACGCAGTTGTATAAGCCTCAACTACAAATAAAGTCTATTGTTGGTTATTTTTCTTCAAAAATTTATTGTTGGTCATTCTACTATACATAGCTACTGCTGGTAATTTTACTATAAATATGTATTCTTATACTTTCAAAGTGTTTTGTTTTTATTTGGTGGGGGTCACTATTTGTCTCTAAAAGGTTCTACCACTTCAGGTTAGGGTGCACCTGGGAAGGACAGCAATTAAGAAGTGATTCCATGCTCCTCAAAACCTTCCATCTCCCAATGAAAGGTCTTGCTGCCAGACGTAGTTTATCGTCATGACTATGACTAGAGTTGCGATATTGAAGGTACACTTATTTGCAATACCGAAATATCAACGACTTAATTCGAAATTAGTTAATGATGTTTACTGTTATGAATAATGAATATAGTTCTTTAGAGCTGCTATCAACATCGAGAGACGGTGCATCTGAAGCAACATCACGCGACATTTAGTTTCACGACTCGCCAGTCTTGTAGTTAAGTCATTACACTGTCTTCGTCTTTACTGTTTTTGGATTCAATTAATTCGAATTTAAACAGTTAAATCGAAATAATTTCAAATTAAGTTTTTGAAATGTTAAGCAGAGAGACAGGTGATCAAAACAATGACCGAACTGATTATTTCTTGTGAGGTTATTGGCTTTAGCTTTTAAAACGACACAGAATTTCTACTTCACGTTAACCATTCAGAATCATCAATCCAGCGTCACCAGAAAAGAGGCCACTGTATATTTTTATTTGAGCAGAAATGCGCGGAAAAAGAGCTATAAAATAGGAAAATCAAAATAATTCAATAAATTTATATTTATATTTTAAGAAACTGTTCACTTCCTGACTTAATTCCATTTTCATGACACAATGACAGTCCCTATTTTAATCATTTTAATGATGTCCTAATTTTAACGTCTTTGTTCTTTAATTAAATGTATTAATTATATTTACCAACCTGAATGTTAGATAAATTTCGAAGAAAATATGCATTCTCCATAGGATGCAGGTTCGATTACTGCCAGGGAACGCCTATTTTCTACGAAGTATTCACTTTTTAATCACCCAGTGTGCGTGCGTATATATATATATATATATATATATATAGATAATATTAGTGGAAAATATACATACATATGCAAAATATATATAAAAAAATACCCATACATGTATATTTTCAGAAAAAAAATTTCCAAGAGGGAGAATCCAGGTATATGTGTGTGTGTGTGTGTGTGTGTGTGTGTGTGTGTGTCTATATTTCTGAGATGAGGTATTATGTACATTATTTACATTATTCGGACTATTGTCCTCATCTTTGTCGCCAAAACGTCGGCCGAAACGTTGTGATAAATATGCCGACAAAGATGAGGACAATAGTTTTGAATATATATATATATATATATATATATATATATATATACTCCGGGACATTAATAAGAAACACCACATAATAAGAACTGATATTAAACTACAAACAAAAAATCCTGGCCATAAACTTCAAACCCAGAAAATTTACCCCTAGATAAGATACCTTACGACCCCACCAATCGCTAACACAAACCCACTCTTATTAACATGCTACCTCCTAGAAGAGGACTAATTTTGAAAATAAATTTAGAACAATGATCCTAGACAAGCACTTAGAGGCTGATGATAGCCGTGTGAAAAACGGCTTGAAATAGACCATGCCTATGTTGAGGAAATATGTGCGTTTTTGCTGTATATAGATAGATAGATAGATAGATAGATAGATAGATAGATAGATAATATTAGTGGTAAATATACATACGAATGCAAAATATATAAATACCCATACATGTATATTTTTAGAATAAAAATTCCAAGAGGAAGAATCCAGGTAGAACTCAATGTCTAGGACAGAGTAAGGA